TGGGTTAAGGGTGGGTTGGGTTAAGGGTGGGTTGGGTTAAGGGTGGTTTTGTTTCGGTTTGGGTTGGGTTCGGTTGGGTTGGGTTGGGTTGGGTTGGGTTCGGTTGAGTTCGGTTCGGTTGGGTTCGGTTCGGTTGGGTTCGATTCGGTTCGGTCTGGTTCGGTTCAGTTGGGTTCGGTTTGGTTCGGTTGGGTTAGGTTCGGTTCGGTTTGGTTCAATTGGATTGGATTCGGTTGAGTTGAGTTGGGTTCGGTTCGATTTGGTTCGGTTGGGTTGGATTAAATTCGGTTGGATTTGGTTCGGTTCGATTCAGTTGGGTTCAATTGAATTTGATTGGATTCAAATGGATTTAGTTGCATTCACTTGAATTCGGTTCCATTCGGTTAAGTAGATAAATTTATTTACATGATAAAAGTTTTATAATTGAAATATATGATTTAGCGAAAACTTTTTTTTTAAGTAATATTATTTTATTTTTACTAGCGAATGAAAATGGTAGTTGTAAAATTAGCCTAACACAACACACGTGTGTAATTGTTCGTGTGACTGACACAAAGACAAACACTGCACAGACATTGAATCGATCAATCAATGGTGCTTGCGTCCATTCGTCTTTTTCCTTCTCCATTCCTCGCTTTCGCTCCTCGTCGCTCTCCATATTCATGGCGCCCTCGTCCCTCTTCCGTCGCCGCCTTCTCTTCTCTCCACTCCTGTAGCCATTCAGTTTCCACTATATTCCTTTTCGCACAATGCCTGCTCACTTTAACCTATTTTTTCTATTGGAACCCTTTTCTATGTTGAAATTCACACATTTTTTTTTCTTTTTCTTTTTCTGAAAAGATGAAATCAATAATCTGTTGATTTATGCATCACTAAGCTGTTACTTGCAGATAGTGTTGACTTGTGAGTTCATGTTGCTGCAGCGGCTTCTAAGGGAGACGGCGGAGTGGAACTAGGTGGTGATCAAAGACAAGCAGAAGTTATTTTTTTAGGGACTGGAACCAGTGAAGGGGTTCCTCGTGTTAGTTGCTTGACTAACCCTTTAATTAAATGTGAGGTACTTGTCATTATTCAACCAGACCATGTTTTTATAATTGATTATGAATATGATATGATGCTATGGAATTGGATCATTGGGGTTTATTGGTTTTGGTATGATGTTTTTTAAAGGTGTGTTAAAAAGCTGCCCAACCGGGAAATAAGAATAGGAGACTTAACACAAGCATTCTCATTCGTCACCCCAATTCTTCAGGAACACAGAATATTCTTATAGATGCTGGAAAGTATGTTTTTAATTGTCCTATGTGATGTGCACTGCAATTGTGTTGGATTAGGAGTTAGGAGGACGGGATTTATCTTACTTTCATTTTGAATGTTAGTCTATATCTGCGATCTCATGGTGGTTCTAGGTTATCCCCTTATTGTACTTTCTTTTCTTTTTTGAGCTTGAAAAAATCTGCTGGAACATGGAAAAATTAATACTTGGCAATTTTAGCTTTCCTTTGATACAATGTTTGTATAATTGGTATTGTATTTGTATACTGAAGCCCAACATTGATCCATTAACAATGTCATGATTGTGGGTGTCAGCGAGTATTTTCTTGTTTCTCTCAAAGATAGTCTTGTATATGTGGACTGGATTCTAAGTCTGCGTTGCCCCGTCATGGGATGATATATGCTGTGTTAGGATAATGTGATGTCTGAACCATGAATATGTTGTAGATTTTTATTATTGTAAGATGGGATTTACATAATTTGAGTTCACTTTCAAGGAAAACCTGGACATGATTAGATTATGTGCTTCATTTGGGTGCTGATAACAATTAACTTACTTGTTGCAGATTTTTCTATCACAGTGCTCTCCGGTGGTTTCCTGCTTATGGGTTAGTTTTTACCTGTTATTAACGTTGTTACATGTGATGGGTTTTCTGTTTATGTATTTTATTTTTTGCTTTCTTTTTAGGAAAAATATGATGCAACATTAATAACAATGGTAGTGAAAGGACATGCAAATTAGAAAACGAAACTTGCATAAACTATGTGTGGTATATACACAATTTTGGACTGTTGACAAAATTGTTTAAGGTTATCCTATGGTTTGCATAGAAGTCCGTAAGGAGTGTACTGGTGTAAGATTTTGCAAGCATCAATACCCATGCAAAATGAATTGGACTTGTCAAATATCTGGAATGAGTTTTTAATGCTAAACTATTTAAGAGAAAATAATCTTAGAAGACTTGTACGTCTGTGACATTTCTTGTTTGACATGCTTTTTTATTGAGGAATCTTGATTATTGACCCTAAAATTTAAGTAGTAGATGGCGTTCTACATGTTTTCTTGTATTTTTCTGCCTTGGTTTTATATCTCTGTAACCTGTATATCTGCAGGATAAGAACAATAGATGCTGTCATTATTACTCATTCACATGCTGACGCAATTGGAGGTCTGACATGATCTTTAATAATATTCTTTGGATAATTAATATCAATACGACATGTATATGCTTGGCTAAAGTAATAAGAAATGTAATTGGTAATATAAACAAACTCTGCTTCTTTCTTCTACCCAGGTCTTGATGATCTCAGAGATTGGACAAACAATGTTCAGCCTCATATTCCAATATATGTAACCAAACGAGACTTTGAGGTCCTCTTCCATGTGCTTTCCTTCTAAATCCAAGTTATTAATTTTACTTACTGCTTGTTATCTGTATGTGTACGCTGTAAATTTTCTTTCTGTTTGAAAGACCTGCATATCTATGTATCCTTTTTAAGAAATTAATGCATACTGTAAGAAATCTTGAATTTGTGCATATTGATGTTCATTCTTTCTCTGGGATTGCCAAAGTATCCACAACTGATGTTATTGAAGTATATTTTATATATATCTACTTAATGCTAATGAATCTCTGCATCCGCTTTAACATTTACTCCACAGAAATTCATTTTAAGTTAGAAAATATTTATCACTAGTTGTAGTTAAAATTTGAGTAGGGTTAAAAGGTGGATTTAACTATACCTACAGAAACTAGCCGACTGAAAGTTAATAATAATTGCCATCTGAAGAAATCAAATCTTCCTCTTCTGATATGGGCTGAGGACCTGGAAATTTTGTACCAGAAGATCCTGTCCAATATCTCCAGAGGCTCAGTCTTTTCTAATTTGCATGATGGAACAATTTTTTCACTATACTAGCTTCTGAAATCATGTCTAAGAGAGAAGAGAAAGAGCTCATCCTGCATATATTCATGATTGTTCCCATAATCTACACTTTTTAAGACAATTGTCATTATGTAGATTTCTGTTAGCTGAAAAATAAAGATGTTTTAGGGAAATTTTCTTCATTTTCAAATATTTTAATTTTTATCTTCCAGGCTAGATCATAGGGTTACTTGTCATCTGATTGGATATTTAATTTCTTCTGAGCTGCGGATCGGAGTTCCTCTTAATAGCACTTGTAGCACTACCCTATAGTGAAGGGGAAAAGCAGTGAAAGCTTGTGCTTTTCATTTTCAATGATCCTCTGAATCATTCACCTTTTTCTACTTCAATGAGCAACTGGTGGGATATGTTTTTATAGTGAACTTATTCTTGCAATCGCTACTGAAAAGTGCAGGTGATGACAAAGACCCATTATTATTTAGTAGATACTAGTGTTATCTTACCTGGTGCCAAAGTCTCAGAGTTGCAATTCAAAATCATATCGGAAGAATCATTTTTTGTACACGGACTGAAGGTCAGTACCATTATTAGTCCTAACATCTTCAAGTGGGGTGTTCTCGTACTTTGTCCCTTTTCAACTTTTTTTCTCATTTATTGCTCAATCAATTAATTTCTAGCGTGTTCCTTCTTGTGGATGGGGCTTGGCTCTATTCTTTTTTTCCTTCTATTATTGTACTTCAGATTACCCCATTACCAGTTTGGCACGGCCAGAATTATAGGTCCCTTGGTTTTCGTTTTGGTAATATCTGTTACATTAGGTAATGTTTCTACTTAAGTAGAAAAGTACTTGCATATGATTCAGTTCAGCCTTTTCATCTATTTATGTGGGCTGATCTTGTCTCTAAATTTGCAGTGATTTTCATCTATTTATGTGGGCTGATCTTGTCTCTAAATTTGCAGTGATGTTAGTGAAATTCCTGAAGAAACTTACCCACTTCTAAAGGACTGTGAAATTCTAATCCTGGTGATATACCCTCCCATCCTTTTTATCTTTCCACAGCTTTTCTTTATACTTAAATGAAATAACTGTGAGTGCATGTATGATTTCTCCCTCACTCACATAGTGTTTGATTCCACAGGATGGATTAAGACCTGATCGTTCTACTTCCACACATTTTGGACTTCCAAGGGTAATAAACTAATAATCAGCTTTACATTTGCTTAAACTTTTCTCTTAGGAAGGAGATTTATTCTGATCTTCCATTTCAGGCGTTGGAGGAAGTGCGAAAAATTCAACCCAAAAGAACACTTTTTACTGGTAAGTTTAGCTTAAGTCCTCCAGTTATCATAATACTTGCACTACTTTCTTGCCTTAATCTACGATGGTTCATTAATCATGCATTTAGGAAGCCTGAAAGAACCCCTTAAGAAGTTCGAAATTAGTAAATAAAAAAATCTGAGGCAGTTAGTAATATATCATCAATGTAAAATGTTTAAGAGAAATAGTTTTCGATGTCTCCTTATTGGTTATTTGAAGGTATGATGCATCTGGTGGATCATGAAAAAGTGAATGACTACCTTGCGAGCTTATTGGAGTCTGAGGGTCTTGATGCACAACTGAGCTATGATGGACTTCGTATACCAGTCAGACTCTAGATTTATACAACCTCAATAATTATTTTTTTCCCGAAAGAGAAGTTATTAAACAATACATTTAAATGATTTTACAAGTTCACACATTCTGCATGCTACTGCAACTATTCCACCTTCTTCCCATCCACTTGTCATTCTTATTTCCTTGTCTCTATTAGCGACAAGCAACACTTATACCATAATGTAACAGGATTTTTTCACCTTACAATGAAATATTTTATTGTGTAGTGAATTATTATTTGGTCATTATACGTAAAGAATTAATCGATTTAGTTTCTAGAATACATATATAGAAACTCTGTTTGAACCAGAAGATTGGTGTTTGAATTTAGCAGATATGAAGACTGAAACTCTCACAAGGTTGAAACCACTACTTTGACATTGACAATCCAACATTTCCAGGATTCATAAACGCAATTGGAACTTATTGTTATGATATTTTGTATATTTGTGGCCTATACATTCCCACTTGGCAATTCATGATGAGTCAATATGAAAGAAAAAACATAAAAGAAATAGATGTCGGGACTATGGTCCACTATGTTTTCTACGCACTGATTCAATAAAAGATTAGTGTTAGGATCAGAAAAGCAAGTACTCTTCCTTTTTATTGGTTGCAAAATGGATCACGTAATACCTGCAGTTTCATGAGTGGACGATGCATTTTGCATAGTTTTGGAATAACATATGATAAAGTAGATCTATGCAAAACAATACGACAGGGTTGTCATGTTAGGTGGAGTGTTTGAATACGATTTTAAAGTTTTTTTTTTCTCAATCATGTATTTTTTTTATTTCCTCTTTTTTTTTAAAGTAAATTTTGTTTTTCAAAGTATTTCAAATGGTTTGTTTAGTCTACTGTGTGTGTATCTAAAATTACATCGCCAACCCTGAGAGTCTATATCTTCAAAATAAGTAAATATATATATATATATATAAGATGTGTATAAAAGAACGGTTCACACATTCTGCATGTTACTGCAACTATTCCACATTTTTCACATCCACTTGTCATTTTTATTTTCTTGTCTCT